TAAAGAGAAATCTATCGTTTGAAGAAAGCGATATCGACTTTGATTCGAGCGAGTTGGAAAGAAATGAGAGAATTCGTATTATATAAAATTTAGTCTCTCATTTTTTATATCGTATCAGAGGGAATTGTAATTTAATTTTTAGCTGTATAAGCCGTTCCGGCTTATATTTTCGTCATATATCTTGACTGTATGAATATAAAAAGATCGCTAAAAATAATAAACCGCGCTGCGAGAAAGGGCATTCCATTTGTTTACCGGAAACGGCTCGATATTGAGGGACACTCCTTCAGCTATTTATTCATTATTATCATTATTAATTATAAACGGGAATGTAAAACTTCCCTTTGATACGATAATACATGGATTACGACATTTGCATGAACCGCATAAATACGTACAAAATGCAACCGATTGAAAGAACCATAGATAAAGGGGAGCGAGGAAAAACAAATTTAAATTGTTATTATTTCTGTCACGGTAAAAACCTATTTAAACTAACTCTAACAGTTTCACGTGGTTACGACGACCTTTTTTTTTAGGAATACCGATATGGCTTTTATTCTCCTGAGAAACGTTTTAACGATTATACGATTTTATCGTGGAATTTTTACCGCCGTGCGCAAGTGGGCATTCGGAACGGCGATAATTAGTAAGCGGTTCATAACTGGTTTATATTGCTGTTAATCGGAATAAAAGTGTCAACGAACGGCCGCCTAAATGTGTATCACGTTAACCACAGAACGGGCATGGAGTTTATTAATGTCCATCACCGCGCGCGGGGACGTATTTTTCGCGAGTCGGGAAATGCGACAACTCCATGGACACACACGTCCCACGAATGGAATACCGCACGCGCGCGTAATCTCTTACTTCTTTCTATAATTATCCGCCGTGTTAAATTTTCTATCGCTCGCTGACTCGCGAAGCGAGTCGCTAATTTCGACGGGTGCGCTCGCGGAAGGTGAGGTACTCGTAATTATAGGATTTCGGATTTAATAACACGCGAATTGCGCGTCGCGTCCGCGCGTAATTGTAACCTTCCCTTAAATATTTGAGAATTAATGCCCGAAAGTTGTCGCGCGCGACAATTTCGTCATAATTTCCGCGGTTACACGCTGTCTCGAAATTCAAATCGGGGAATCCGCAGACGCCTCTGGTAATTAGAAAGTTCATTACCCCGACAACGGGAGTGACAACGACAGAAACCCCGTATCTCCGCTGTCGCAGCTCTCGGCGGCCTGCCGAAGTCTCCCTCTCTCTCTCTCTCTCTCTTACTCACACAGCTTTGTCGCTTTAGACTTGTACCTATCTGCATTCGTATCATCGGCAGGTATATTCGCCATTGATGGCAAAGCCCACACGCATCGCCCACTGGAAAAGCCCGTCTCATCCTACGTCCTACGGCAGAAACTGACTCGCAGATAACACAATAGCGAGTGTAGTTTAAAATACAAACCGCGCACAATGCGCGCGAGGCGAGTTGTAAATATCTCGCGTGCGCGGATTAAATATTGCAATGTTTGTTGTTTTTTTCCCCCTCCTTTTATTGAAACGCGACCAACTTCTTGTTTTATCAATTTTTGTCATTCCGCATTTTACGTCCGCAGTTTGATCTCTCTCTCTCTCTCTCTCTCTCTCTCTTTCTTTCTCTCGACTGTTTTAGAATTAATAGTCATAACAGTCTCTCAAATGGGATTACCATGTTTCAGATTAAATTATATACACACACACGTAGATACACATAGGCGTGTATGTACACACACACACGTAAAACCGTTCAATTCAATTACACATTATAACATTTTGCAGAGACGTCGCACAATATATTCCGAGCACAGAGTGTGTCTATAACAGCGTTATCGGTTAACACAATCTTCGCGAAATATCTTCGTCGCACGGCGAACTATAATGCACTACAAGCTATATTAGTTTCATTCTCTAATGAAATTACCAGCAGGCTAAAACTTCCTCCTCCGAGTATCTTTCCTCGGAGTATCAACTCAACGATGGAGTAACCATCCATCTTCCCGACGTTAAACGCGTAAACATGGTCACGATATCTGCTGGGGAAACTAACGAAACGGAAATCGAGAGGTCGTTTCGCTAACTTTTCCAATGATTCTTCGAGGAGCGAGAAACCAGATTTTCATCCGATAGAATCCGGTCTCTTTCGAGAAGAGCCTCACTTCCTCTCTCTCTCTCTCTCTTTCTTTGTACATATCTTGTACATACTGTAACTGTACACTCTCGTTCTTTAACATATTGCACCGATGGCAGCGGTTGATTCCGCGGAATATTTATACAAGCGGCGACATGCGACGACCGCGACTGGCACAATGTCGTTCCAGGTAATATCATTATTTCGCTGCGGAAGTTATTGCGGAGATGGTCCGTTAATGCGCGCCGAACGAGACCTCGCGCAATGCATCGGATTTTACAATGCTCCGCCGTCGTCTTTAATCGGGAACGCCGCGCGAGAACGGTCGGTCTCCGTCGGAGGGAAAAGCAAAGAGAAGAAAGAGAACGGTAACAATTGGAAGACGCATCGCGGCGTTTCGGATTCACAAACTTCGGACACGGAAACGACCTCGCCCGCGTGATTTTATTTGTGCATACACGCATTGTCGTTGCCATTCCGACGTGTGCGTACACTGGGAAAAGGATTTCTTCAAATTTCATAAATTTTAGTAATCAAATAATATTTTATTTAGTTAAAAGATATGATTTCAAATAATAGCGTTCTTTGTGGTAAATAATAGAGTTTTCTCGAATAAGACAATAAAATTTTTACCCAAATAATATTTCGTATATGTTGCTTCTAGGAAACAAATTTTAGTCAAATAAATGGAAATGCTAAATCTAAAGAAAGCTTTTACTCTGTGTACGTGCGTGTTTGTGTGTGCCTCGAATAAACCTCGTGAAAATAAAGCAGCGGCAGTTCGTACACGAGTCTCCGCCGCGGGGCGAAAAGAGGGTGCACATATTTACTTTCCATTTTTCATCCCTTCGTAAAGCCTGTCGCGAATAATGTCATCGCTGATAATGGATGCCCACGGTGTAGCACGTGGTTTAGACATGGAGACAGCAAGTTGTAATTAACTCTTTCGTCTTTTAGTAGCTTGTTGTAACATCATAGGGACAATACGCCGCGTTTCTCGTGACTTTTGTACGCGGTATCCCAGATAGAAATTAAAAATGACGGGTGAAAAGGGACCTTACATGATTTTTCCGCACTTTTATCTAAGGTCCTAAATAAAGGCAAGCCCACTTAGGTTCTACACAGAAATGTACAAATTAGGGCTAGATTTGGAAATCTAACTAGACCCTACTTTAGCATGCCTAACTAGACTCTATCTTGATAAATCTGACTAGATCATATCTTGTTATGTTTCCAATTTACAAGAAAATTCAAATGTGAACTTGCAATTTTGTTTGTATTAAATTATCTGCTATTTTTTAAAAGCAAAATCAAAGTTTTGATCTTATTATAATGAGAATTTCACTTAAGTCTCTGTGCGATCTCGCTTTAAACTATTTCAGGAATTGGCTAACTAGACTCTGACTGGGCCCTATGAGCGCAAGCCTTGTCAGGGGCATCCATGTCGTCTATTCAAGGGCTCATTGACGAGATTCCATTCAGGATTTGCCTTTTTAGGCCATATTTAAGCCCAACGAAGGCAGGCCTATTTTGGGACGTGCCTATCTGGAGCCACTACAGACTTGAGTCACGCCCCGATTAATTTCTACCCAGGATGTTTCTTCTTCGGGCTGAGACAGCAACGAGAGTTGACTCGGGGATCCGATTAAAAATCACGATGAGATCTGTCGTTCCCGCGTCAATTGGTCGAGGTCGAACGGGGACGAAAAGGGAGGAGAGCCCGAGTAAAGTGACGGAATGAGGCAAAGCGGGAACAGGCGCGAGACGGAATGCGCCGTCACCAACAACGCCTAGGTCTAAGGACATAACCGCTTAAATATCGCGGTGGCGTTTGTCACCAGACGGGCCACCGAGAGTGTTAATTATGTTCTGACCACGATAGCGCCCCATGGTTGCCGAGCAAGTTTTAATCCCAGCGGTCGCCTCTCTCTCTCTCTCTCTCCCTCTCTCCGCCTCTCGACGCGCACGAGAGCAAATTTATATTCCACAGCAGGCCGTTATTGTGACAATAACGAGCCTGATTAGAAACTTGACACAACCACTCTTGATTATAAGCGTTCCGAATTAGCCGGAATCGAATTAGCCGCATGCCGGGCGTGCGGTGCGCGCGCACGTAACAATAACGCATAACTGCGTGCCGCACGTCAGTGGCTTTTGTATCCTGTCGTCAGAGAAAATAATACGAGGTGTGCGAGTGGCGCGATGCAAAAATCAATCGGCGGAATACCAAACGGTGTGCGAACAAGCGAACGAGCGAAACGCGGACCATTTTCTTGGTCATACCTGGGTCCGACGAATAAACCGCTCATGTGTGCAACTGGAATTTAGTTATCAGGCCTAGTTTTTAGCTGTGGGAGGTAAAAACTGGATACAGGTACGAAAAAAGCTAAATAAACCGAATTTCAGTTGTATTATAATATATGGACAGCAAATTTTTTTCCCGTGGGAACTGGTTTTTAGCCGTAGAAGCTAATTCTTTTGTTTTTTTCGTGTACAATTACAGATTTAGGGTACGCCTCGAGTAATTTCTATCCTGGCGGCTAGGTCGATTATCTCTCGGGTGCTCCCTCTCGTCGGCGGAGGGAAGGTTAATTACGATCTCCCGCGTTTGTGGACTCTCCCGAAACAGAAAAGTTCCGGCGTAGCCACTTCCGGTGTGAAATCATCACTCACTACCATCCGCTTTCCCAACTTCTCTCTCTCTCTCTCTCTCTTCCTCTCTCACACATATACACAGGCACACATACACGCTCACGATAGTAGAATTTAACGACAAACGCGAGAACAATGTGAATCGTGAAGCATCCATTGAGCGCCGAAATGGCGTCTGTGTGTGTTCCAGCAGCATCCGAACGCGACCAACAGTAGCGAGACGAGCGTGGGTGGCGTGTCGGGTGCGTGCGGAAGCAGCGGCATACCGGCGCCCGGGGAGGCCGGATGCAGCAGCAGGGGCGGCAGCAGCAGCGGTGCCGGCGGCACGGGTACCGGACAGGGTTGCGACCAGGGTGCCCACGGCGGAGGCACGTCCTCTCATACGCGGGAGAGCCACGCCAAGTTCCGGCACGGCCTGCTGCAGCTTATGATCCACACGATCGATCCGCTCCACGACGGTCAGTCCCGCGCCGGTATACCAACTCCACACTCTATCACTCTCGCTTGCAGCTTCTTGGCTCGCTTTTGCGCTTTGCTGCACGCTGGTCATGTTTATGTGTGTTTGCATGCGTGTCTGTAAGTGTGTATGTGTGTGTGCATGTGTGTGTGCATGTGTGTGTACATGTGTGTGTGTACATCTGTTCCGTTTTGCTGTTTCGCGCTTCTCTCGCGTGACAGCGAGAGAAAGAGAGAGGCTGGCGCGTATATTGCGGACTTGTACATATATCGACGCGTAACAGCGCGCACTTCCGCGACCTTTTCGTTTCTTTCCGCGTTTCCCGTCGCGTCGTGTCGCAGCATGTCGCTATATACGGACGCATCCCCACGTTGGCTGGCTGGTAGCTGAACGAAATCTCCACGGGAGTGCGATTTCACTGTAATTTTACACAAGTCCATTCCGGCCGCAGAGATTGACACGAGGGACGCTACACTCGCGAGCCATATCGATATCTCGCGCGCGGAGAATTGCAAATTCGTTACGACTCGTTTGCTTTCGTTTTTTTTCCCCCCCTTTCCTTCTTACAATATAAATTTCTACAAGTTCCGTGCACGGAAAAATAGTTCAGTTGAATTTATCGGACAGTGAACAAACCAAACGCGTTTCAGTTGAAGGAAATCAAATTTCTGGTTCGTATGACCCAAATTTGGTCTTTATAGTCAAATTCTGTTTCCTTCAATCAAAACGTGTTTGATTTGTTCATTGTCTGACAAATTTCAGCAAACTTTCCTCCGTGTGGGGATTATTTAATGGGATTTTAATTAATACGAATGAATATTAATTACGGATTAACTCTCGAATAACAAGGTTAGGTCAGATCCGACCGAATCCATATTCTAATACTTCCGCGCACGCGCTCGTGAAGCGTTATATTTCAGGTATTTTACAGGTATATTTCAGGTATATTTCAGGTATTTTACATATTTTACGGTATATTTGATTTATTTTGAAATATTTTCTAATTCTTATTGTGAGGATAAAATGCGCCTAGTCGAGAAAATTAATTGGAAAAACTACAAAATGTTTCTATCTGTCGTATCCCACCCACCTTGTTATTTTTGTGACTGTATGAACTTTGTATTTGAGGGTTAAGGGGGTCGTATTCGACGTGAAATGACGGTTACTGTACCACTCGTACGTCGCAAGTCCGGAAAAAATAGTTCAGTACGTACGTTATACTGCCGGACAATTTTGTCCTTCTGCTAAAATTTATAAAAAATTTCGCGTCCAACATCCAGCCTCAAGCTCTTATTTGCCTGTCTTTTCTTTCTCTCTTTCTTCGTGACGCATAGAAAAAAAGTTTGGTTGAATTAGCCAGAAAGAATGGACAACCAAACGCGTCAGAATTTCTAGTTTTTATAAACAGGAATTCTGTTTCCTTCAACCGAAACGCGTTTGGTTGATCCACTTTCTGATTAACTCGACCGAACTTTCTTTTTCCGTGTATGCGTAAGACATGCACTCCCAAAGCGCCGAGACATCGAGGCTGATCTTAGTCTGCGATATATGTTAAATAAATAACAACACACATGTGTAAATAGGTAATTGAAACATTGGAGAAATCGGACGCGAAGATTGATACTATCGTGACGCCAACGCACCGGAGGAGACCGGCGGCAATAACGAAATTCCCGGAGAATTTCAAACGAATATTAATAAACGCTCGATCGAGTCCAATTAAGGACAGCCCCGTGGTAGAGCGACCGGAAACGCACCTCTACGGGATTTTTTTCGCTCGGCAATTTCACCGCGACGCAAATTAGCGACTCGAATTTATTTTCTATCGTGACTATGGTCGCATTAATTTGCATGGATATCGGGCAAAAATCGGCGGTGATCTAATTCTGCTGCATCCCGTAAAATTCCGAAATTCGATCGGTGAGGAGGATCCATCGGCTGGTATCGTCGAAAATGTGATCACGCGTTGTGTCAGAATTATCTTCGTAGGTTTGCCCAGTCGCCCACATACCGCACAATCGCGATCCCATCCGACGCCGCATTATTTTCCGCGCGTGTTGGTCTGTAGAATTGATAGTCCCGACGCTTTTGTGATGAGACAGCGCCGTGGGCGAACCGAACCGGCGAGCTCGCGGAAACTCATTCCGACGACATATTCCTGAGATGAGTCACGGAAATTTCCGAAAGCTCGACGGATAAAGTATTTTTGAATGTGGAATTACGCGAGCGTTTAATAAAATGCCCGCGGCTTCGCAGGCTAGACAGGCGGACAGACAGAAAGGCAGACAAATATTCAAAGCTCTTTGAAAATTTCAGCGCGCGAGGGGAAATTTCCGGCTACTTAAATGTGTCTTGTCTCCAGACTAAGCAGAGACTTCACGGCTGAACTCGATTAATTGAAATTTGCAATTTCGCCATGAGAAGCGACAATTTCTTAAAATTAAACGAATTGTATTTAGATAATTCCGCGAAACGTGGGAACGATTCAATATCGCTATTTTTCCAAGTGTTACCGCTCAGAGAAAAAGGGAGAGAGAGAGAGAGAGAAAAAGAGAGAGAGAGAGAGAGAGAGAGAGATAAATATATCGTTCCTTGTCGAGTTATTATATTGCGCTTTACGACCTCCGAAACATAATTTTCGTGCAATTTTTACGAGGAAAATGCGAAAAGCACCGTCTCTACTAGTTTAAGAGAATTCGTCCGGCCACTTTGTCGTGTGGAAAACTGACTTGAGACTCAAGGTAGGAAGAGGGAATCGTACGCGAAAGCACATTAGAAGGGGAGCTTCCGTGGATTCACTCTAGCCGCTAGGATTGTCAGGTCAAATATTAGACGGCATTGATCACGTACGTCATGACGTCGATGAAGCGGCATCTGGAAATGTGCGTGAAATAAGGACGGTGCACACATTTTCGGAGGGTGCGCGTCGACCAGCGTCGTTGGCGACGCGGTCTTGCGAGCGGGTCGACACGAGCGTGGAACGGTCCCGCTATGTATATGTACATATTATATCGCTTGTTTGTCGGATCTGCAACATGCATGTTATATCGATCGCTACGGCGAAAAGCCCTTAATGCACGCTGCGCACCGTGCTACTCGTGATGCGTAGAGAGAGAGAGAGAGAGAGAGAAAGAGCGGTGTTTCCCGGCACCTCGATTTTTACACGTGTGGAGACCCCCATGGGAGACGGATTCATCGATTAACGGATAACATCTCGCGCCAGGTTAGCCTCGCGATAAATATGCGAAGTATTATCGACGTTGCGCCTGTGCTATGCGAGCCCTGGCAAAAATCCCCTCGTGCTGGAATTTTGTATCGAGCGTCCTTACAGCTTAATTGGTTTAAATTTTCACTGTGTTCGGATACGTCCGAAAATAGTTATCGATGACGAACGTGATCGCCGGGTCGTGCCTCAGGCTATAGCCGTCCGTTAATAAATTATTCGGCGAAGATTGGAAGCGTAGGAAGAGGAAGAGGGAGAAAAGAGAGAGAGAGAGAGAGGAAGGACACAGTGTCAGTGATACTCTCCTAAATTATTGGCTTTAGGTTCGTGAACGTTTAGCGCGCGCATTACGTCATTCGATCGCATTCATTCGCGATGCTAATTCGGACATCCTCTCGCTTATGCACGGCACCGGAGCGCGAAAGTTCGATCTCGTTTGTATTTAACGCGACCAAGGACGACGACGGCCGACCGTCAAAGAGGCACACAGTGTTTGTCGATCGAAAAAGCTCGTTTACATTCGCGTACCGCGTGTGCGAGCCGCGCGTTTTCGCCGCGTCCTCTCCGCTCTTCGTGAGCAAATACATTTTCAAGCATTCAATTATTTTCACACACCGCTGCTACGTCCGCGTGACTGAATATTTCATGATAATAAACGCGCGTGCGTTTACCGCGCGCTCTCTTACAAACAGCGACGTTTACGGCCACTACAACCACACCGGCACCGCTCCGAGCGTGTTTTGTATCGCTGTACGTAACGACTCGTGCCGTCCTCTCGCAATCCGTAGAACCACCGAGCCGAGATAAAAATCCCGTCGGACGGTAAAAATTCGCCCTCGGGTCGATTAGGTATGAGTCACCGAATCTTGATTAACTCTTCAAAGCTCAGTGTACATAATGAAGTACATTAATTTGGGACTTTCCCCAAATATTGTCTCTTGGTAAAATAATAATCGATATGTTATCAATGTCCATCCTAAACGAAGCCACATTCTCCGTCCCGATTCGAGAAATTTGTGATCTGTTCTTTTCAGCCGAACTGGCCGCACCAGTTCATAAAATTTATGTACACTGAAACGTGAGAATCTCATTCATATACGTTTCGATGTGTATGCAAATTTCTTGAACTAGCACAACCAGTTCAGCTAAAAAGAACAAGCCGAGCGTCTTTCTAACTGGAAGACCGATATGTGCAATCGCATGTAGACCAAAGTCGCCGACGCTCGAATTTATATAAAGTTATTTATGAAAACACGTAAGCATATTCCGTTAATTGAAAATTTTGTCCGACGTTCTTGTCTATGTTGCAAATAAGCGGGAAGTAAGTGTTTTTTTAAGCAAAACTCTTAATATTTCCTCATTTTTTATACTTTAAACGTCCGATGTACACAATTAAGTGCACTCGGAAAATTGCACTTCTCGATGGCTAATTTTATTCGGACAAAAGAAAATTCATCAAGAACCTTTAATGATTAAGGGAGTCCTTTAACCTTTCGACTCCCATGCTGATTTCTCAGACGCAAGTTCCCAAATGGGACAAGCGGTTGACCCCAAAAAATTTTCCATGTATAATAGCACGTTTATAACGTTAAAAATTATATAAAAATATAGTGCGTAAACGTATCGATGCGTAAATATAATATAACGTCACTTATTTTTATTTATAAAATTCAACTAGAAAAATTATCCATAAAAGTTATCAAAACTGGCAGAATTATTTTGAAGAAATCATTCATGGGGCGAACGTCTCGCTTGGTAGTCGAAGGGTTAACAGACGA